TCACAGACACAAACACACACACACACCCGCCAAAAGGGGGTCCGAAACCCCCCTACAGGTGAGTGCGCTGGGGGGGGCGGCCCCCAACCGGGTGCCCTGCCCGGCCAGGCTGCCCGGGACCTCCCCTGGGCCCCTGCCGGTCACCCGGGCGGCCCGGATCCCCACTCAGCTTTTTTTTTTTTTTTTTTTAACTAAACCACTGCTACCTCCAAGCCTCTTTTTGCCGAGGGGGAGTCAAACTGCGTGCCAATGGGGTGCCGAAGCGCCAGCGCTGTGTTTTTGTTCTCTTTTGGCTGGCGCACCCAGTCTTTGTGGTGTGGTAGCTCCCAGCCTCCACTGGCATCTGAAGAATCGGAGTGGGCTACTTTTAAGACTTAGCATCACCGCCGGAAAGGTAGTACAGGAGGTTCAAAAAAAAAAAAACAGAACCTTAGGGTTCTGACTGTATGTCCATTCTGGGGAGCTTCAGTTCGGTTCCTATTCCATCGGCAACGGCGGCAAGTCAAAAGGAAGACACCGTGTACTCACCCTACGCTTGTCCCCATTACGGTTGGAAGGCCGGAGCAGACGGCATTGATTGCTTCCCTTGGGAAGGATATACCACCCCTCACCCATGCCTAATCTGTCCTCATTGACTTGCTCATGAAGTTGGATTGCTCCGGTGGCCTTGAGTCTGCTGAGCCTATGTCTGTAATCATAATCGTTTCTTTCTGCGTCATACCTGCTCCTCTCCACTGTTGGGCCATCAGATATGCTTGGATAACTAGAGTCATACGGCTCTCCTGTTTACTGACACTATTTCGTAGGTTGATCGCACTGTTACCACTATTTCCTAGGTTGATCGCACTGTTACCCTAAATCTTTGAGTGACTGTGGACTGAAACTAACCCTGGGGGTGGAGACAGCAGCCACACGAGGAGGCTACATACTTCCCAAGACCATCGAAGGCCTGGAACTAGGCTTGGAACTAGGCCTGGAATTAGGAGAGCAAGTTGAAGCTTAACGGAGGCTACATACTTCCCAAGACCGTCGAAGGCCTGGACCTAGGAGAGCAAGTTGAAGTCTTACGCCCGACAACAGGGTGAAGAGGTTCCTGAAAAAAGAATACGAGTGTGGTCTTGGTAGGATTGTAGACTCTATAGGCTGGCTCAAGTTTGTTCTCAGACTTCCTTCAGCCGAAGACAGACGGTGTATATTTTCCATGGGACACTGGGCCCGACTCCCCAAAAAACAGCACAGCGATTGGGGCCAGGCGAGTAAATGGAAGGAGGTTCCCATTGGTGCCCCCCAGTGGCTCCTTCCTTTTTCCTGAGCCTGGCCGCAGGTCAGGAGAAGGGCAGGACGCTGGATCTGGTTTCCAGCAACAGGGTCTTTCCTGGACTGTCGCATGATCATGGTTTTCCTTATCTTTCTTTCATTTATGTACTTCTAAAGGACTCTGAGCCTGTTTCTCAGCAAATATGTATCAATGGGACGCTGAACCCGGTTTCTGACAGGTGCTGCTTCCCACCAATAGATGGAGCCTCCCCGATGGTGCTAGTGGTGTCTGCTCTTATCAGCACCCCTAGCAGCCGCTCGGGCTGTAAAAAAAAAAAAAGAAAAAAAAAAAAAAGAAACTAACCGTTAAAATTGGAACGATACAGACAAGATTAGCATGGCCCCTGCACAAGTATGACACGCATAAACCGGGAAATGGTCCAAAATTTTCACCTTTGTACCCCGCTTTCCCCACTCTTCTGTGATATTCTTTAAAAAAAAAAAAAAAAAAAAAGCAAAAAGACCTTGGGCATTAGGAGGCCTTTGTCCTACTCTATAAGCATGAGTCCTTGGTTCTGTGGGAGTGAAGGTGAAAGATGAGGGGGGCCCATTCTACTTTTCTAGCACTTTTCTCTTGGCCGACCCTGTATTATCATGAACCCCGGAATGACTGTGAACTGTCCCTAATTTTGGAAGAGTCTGTAAAGAACCTAGTCCTTAGGGGGTCTTGTCATACCTTGATAGTTTGAGTCCTTGGCTGCATGGAGGTGGAAATTTCAGGTGAGGTACCTGAATGCTCTGTAAAATAAAACTCAAGAGTTGTTCTTGGGACATCATGGTTCAGCCTGGTTATAAGGCTCATCAGCTTGCACGGTTGGGGACTCACTGACTATTCCTGGGATAAACTGTCTGTGCAGGCTCTTGACTGGCATACAAATCGCGTGCACCTCAAGTTGCGTTCCGAGCTGGAGAAGAGTTCCCAATCCGAGGCCTCCATTGAATTAGCAATCTCCCAGCTTGCCGAGCTGGCTTCAGGAAATGCTGAGATTGCACTGGATAGTAAACACGAGCCTTCACTTTGCATGAAGGTTAGTGTTAATAGACCTATCTATCTTCTTTCTTATTCAAACGACTTGGAAAAAGGTTGAATGACCAGATATGAGAATTTGCCATGCTATGTACCAGCTTCGTCCGCACCATCTCGACAGAGAATCGTTTGAAATTGAAAAGATTAAGCTGGGAAAGAAAACTCATGAGACAACTTTACGATGCTTGCAGTACTGGCTATAATTCAGCATCAGTACGTGATCACTGATCACTTAATTCAGCACTGGACCATCTAACCCAAGCACACACACATCAGCTCAGAAGCAGTGTAAAGCAGGCGTGCTAAAAGATGAAGCAGCCGTACAATGAATTAACCACAAGTAATTATGAAATTCTGTGAAGCGCAAGAGCCAGCAGATAGACTCCCTGACACGAGTAGAGAATTTGTTACGGTTGAGAATGAGATCAATAGATCGAAGTCTGGATAGTAGCCAGTCTGAAACAGTGGCCACATAACTTCGAATGGAAAACGACATGTTTCCTCGTCCAAAATGCATTGTCAACTCTCAAGCAAATAGTAATACTCTCTCTCTCTCTCTCTCTCTCTCTCTCTCTCTCTCTCTCTCTCTCTCTC